GCCCTGAAAATGTCATGCATATGAAAGTGAGAAAAAGTCTTCCTTTTTATTCAGAAGACTCGATATAAGAACAAGTATTTCAGCTTAAGGAGAAACCTCTTTTTTTAAAAAACTAATTAAAATGACATGGAAACAAAACAAGGCATATATTTTATGTTAAAATATGTTCAATTTAATCAATTTCAGAACTTCAGAATAAATTTCGTTCAAGGAATATTATTGAACTTGCTTAGAAAAAGAAAGATTAATTAATCCTTCGAAATTTCTTGCATTAAAATTAATGAACTTAATAAATTTTCTGGGAAGTAAATGGAATAGACTAATTCTACAGAACATGTTTATGTAAATTTTATGTACCATGTTTGTGAAAAAAAAAATGTTTTCTACTTTTTATTCTCTAACTCTTTTTTCAAGGAAGGAAAAGAAAACACAGAAAAGGAAAACAGAAATAGAGACTCGACTTATCTATTAATTCGGGATTTAATTTCTGTAGAATTTTAAATAGCAAAAATCTTGTTTTTTCCCTCTTAATCCAAGTTATTAATTTTCAAATAGTAATTAAACATTGCGACAAAATTTAAGGCATTTACTGTTTTTTTTATAATCTTTCTATAAAGTATTTATTTGCAATAACATCTGTAAGTAATATAATGCCAAACCTGTCTAATAATATGTAACTCAAATAAATAACTACTTTAAATAAGGATTAAGAAGAAAATGTAAAAGACAATATCATTTCTAAGCTAAATCTTTCAAGAAAATTTTTTTTTTTATGTTGAATATAATTATATTCCATGTTAATACATATATTTTTCATGATATTGATACATTTAATTAATTTATTTTCTCGTATATTTTTCATTATGATAGCTGCTTTCATAGTTTATTATTTTTTGCGTAAAAATTTAGTAAACTACTCTCATATTTCAGATGTTTACCTAGTAAAATAAATTATATAAAATGCTAATCTTTAATATTTCTCGTTGGTCTTATATAGGAGGAACCACAATACATAATTATTAACTTAAATTACCTTGCATTTGAAACTTAACTTTAAGGTAAATTGCAAAAGAGGTTTTGAAAAATTTTAGTTAAAATAATGTTTTAAACTATTAAATCTTTTAATGTACTACGGTCAGAAAATAAGAAAAACAGCTTTTAAGTCACATTCAGGAATGACACAAACTTGTCCTCAAGTGGTTAGCTAGATATGAATGGGATTTTAATTATGATTGAAATGCCAATGGGGTTAAGTTGCTCTACACAGTAGTTGGAACTCGGAAAAAGCTGACTAAAACTCATATTACTGAAACTCATTCAATTATATTTTCTATAAAATTATCAATGTAAGGATTTTTAAGGATGCTGATTAACAACTTTAAATCATGATAGTAATGATACTTAACTAATTTTCAAGCTGTGTATTTTAGCATAATATCAAGCTAGTAAAGATATTTAAGTTAGGATTCAATGTGTACAATTCTTATGCAGTTTCTTCGCTTAATTTCCCTTAAAGCTTTCCATATTAACTTTGTAAAGAATAATAAATATTTAATAGCTTTTTGCTCAGTTAACGAACACAATTTAGTGAATATCTGTTGAGTTGTTTCATAGTTTCAATTTTGCTCTTAAACTTTCTATGCAATGTACTTCTAATAAAAAATATAAGATATTAAAACTTGTATTGTAGATTTAATAAATTCATATTTTAACAGGTATGTTCGACAATTTTAGTAATGGTCTAATGTTTACAGAAATGTGCATCAGTTAAAAAACCTAAAAAAATACGTGTCTGAGATCTTTTGAGAAGATGCATTCATCAATACCCCATGACCACACTTCCATGCGGATTTTCAATATCTTAAATTGGTGCCCCGATTTTTACTGCAGATATAGATTTTCCAGAAATTGTTTTGCATTTTGATTCATGGATTGCTGTGAAATCCTAAGACGAAAATTTGGTACCAATTGTGTAAACAGGAGATATCTCCAGAAATAAATGCCCAACCATAGAAAGAAACATATACTTGTTTGATATTTTAAAAAATAGCTTTTTTTAAGAACATCAAATTCAATCCTAACTTACAAACTCAACTCTATATTTCACCTGATGTCACCCTTGCCTTTAGGGAAGGGGTGGGTGTTTCGTTTCGCAAAATGTCTAAGACCTATATATCGCAAAATATCTAATTTTTATACCTTGATCTGACACTTATTTCTCCATTTCAAGAAATGTGTTGTCTTTAACTGTTTATTTTACTTTCCGTGAACCAAAATGTAAAAATCTTAGTTAAATAGAATTTTTTTTCTTCCTTAGGATCTAATTCTGCAGTTAAAGAAAAGGAATTTATTTAAGATTATAGATATAGTGTAAAAAAATTAGTTGAAAAGGATTAAATTAAATGATCCTATTTAAGATATTATATTTTCCCCCTACCTCCACGACTGAGTCGAGTATGCTATCATTATCAACAATTTAAGAGTAGGTTATTACTTAAGATTTTACAGTTGTCCTCCCATCTCCAGGGTTGAGATTAAGGGGTCAAATACGTATCGTTATCTGCATCTTTATAAATATTTCACACAAGTATTTTGAGATCTTTGATCTGATGCATATTTCTGGAGGTATTTGATAATTCTTCTTCTTTTCGGGCACCCTGTGCGATTTGTTTTTGGAATGCTTCTCAAAATTGATGTTATTGTGTGAGATGTTTCATTAATACATTACAAAAGATTTCTATTTGTTCTTCTTTTAGTTTACCACTCAGCTCCCGGTCAAAAGGGTCCAGTCATCGAGAATAATTTACCTTACTACCATGTAGGAGATTTAGTAAATATCACCTGTTCATCAGCTAAGTCTCCAATACCTGTACACATAAGGTGGTTTGTGAATGATATGGAGGTAAGCAATGATATAGAATGAACAACTAATCATAAAACACTTTATTACATGTAAATTGACCTTATAATATAATACCGTATTTAATAGCAGGCAACAGGCGTGGCAACTTGCATACAAGGCAACTGGCTCGAAATGATGTCTTTATTGCGCAATGTTGTCTTTATCTCGTGCATGATTACCTCAATATTTTGCTTGCATCGTTCGAGACTTCATAATCTTTCACAGCAAAAGGGAATCTATAGATTTTAGAGAATTTCACGATACACCATGCTGAGACTCAGCACTTCCTTCCTCTTCAGCTATAGCCGAGAAGGCAATAGCTGAGAAGGCAATAGCTGAGAAGGCTATAGCTGATTACTTATCCGTATGGTCTCAAGGGATCGCACAACCACGTCACAAACCTTGAACTAAGGAATGAAATCTTTTGAAAGACATCAAGATTCTACGCTAATTGCCAGATAACGCTTGCTGCATCATGGACTGTAAGCGTCGTTACTATGCATTCGTCTACCCTAGACGCTGCGTTTGATACTGTTACACCTTCGTCGACGACCCGGGTCATCCCATTATCCCAAGAATAACAGTGTCATACTTACATATGATTGCGCATTCGGTACACAACATCATGTTAGTGGCATCATGCTAGCTTCATCATGTTTAGTGGCATTATGGTGATCGCACATTTCTAACTTTTGTTCAGTCTTATTATGTTGGCTAATTACATGAAGTTATGGTATATGACGCTAATAACTGCACCACTTAACCACTTATTATTAGCATTATTGGCACTTTTAACCGTAACATTAATTGCAGGCCCTGAAAATGTCATGCAATTTCTGTTTAACTAAATACCTACCGAAGAAATGCTGTTATTGCAGACATGAGTGGTGTTAATGTGCACATTTTTCAGAATTCATGAATCTTAATTTTCTTTATACTTAATTATTTGTTTTTCTTCTATAATCATTACGTTTAATGAAAATGATTCTGTAACTTTATATTCAATGGCTAGTAGTGTCTATCATCTTTAACAGTTTCTCTAAATAAGAATACTTGACAACGTGACTATTTTAACAACACACAGAAATCATTGCTCAACAGCCCATTATGGACCTGAAAGACGGAATGACTAACATTCCACATCTTCGCGTCCTATGGCATGGCCAGCGATCGAAAAATCTACATTACTTTTGTAGTTTACTGCAACTACTATGTAACAGATGTAGTTAGCTACTACTACTTTTTGGAAAAAAGTAGACTACCAATTAATTTGGAATTGTAGGGACTACTTCACTACTTTAAGGAACCAAACTCTGCTAAATCAATTAATTTTCACCTGTATAATTTACACTCCTGGGGAAATTAATTTACGAGTTCAAAATGGTTTTGAAGAAAAAAAATTGGTTTATATTAAACATGAAGAATTATTCAGAAATATTTTTTCATGTTTACATGAACCAGTTTATAATCCTAAAACATTTCGATATGTTCATTTAGTCTTCAAATTCTTATATCCTTCTTGATAACATATAATTAATTTTAGAGATGCTCGGAAATGATCAAATACTTTTGATTTTGCCAAGCATTTAATACTCTTTTATTATCCTCTAAGAAATTAAGTTCATAAGTAATATGTTTACTTCCTTTGAAATATCAACAATGTTTTACGAGCCAACATTCTCATGTGAAATATCACCATCTATTTTCATAATGACTTTCTTAAATATTACTTATAAGTAACTCGATGAAAATACCCAATTCTTGTTAATTCCCAGTCACAGGGCATTTAAAATAAGTTGTTTTAGTACCCTGTTCGCATACTAAACTAACATAAAATGTTGTTACCAGAAATCGCTACAAACTACTGTTTTTTTTTAAATCGCCCAACTCACTACAGTAATTTTTTTTTTAAAAAAAAGTCGCTACTACAGTAATTTCACTATTTGTAGTACGCTACTACCAATCACTTTGCATGATTGCGACAATGTGGTTAGCATTGCCCCAAAACTCCCTTTTCTTTAAAAAAAAAGCTGGTACTCATCTATCTAAAGCTGAGTAGATTTATCAAAAATTGCAATAATACAAAGAATATTTTTTTCATTAACTTGAACTTGATATATTAAACAGACATGTAAAAATTGTTTGGGAATTCGAAATGTTGAATAACTTAGGTTTACTAATAAATGAAAATTCTATATTTCTTTCAATAAATTGATAATTTTTGCTTCCCTTTCCAGGCAAAAATGGAACACCTGATAAAATATTCCACACTTCGTTATTCAGATGGAACAGAAGTCTCAAGTTTAGGACTTCGAATGAAAGTGGAGCATCATCATTTCAAAAATGACGAACTTCGTCTTAAATGTACAACGACGCTTTACAGAATGCTGACGATGCGAGCTGAAAAGACATTGTTTAGGTATAACCAGCAAAATTCTGGTTTCCATACAGCAGAAAATAAATGTGAAGGTATGAATAGTATCTATGAATAGAAGCTTTACGAAACTTGTGGTTACAAAAACCTCAACTTTTAAAATTAGTACAACTCCTGAAACAACCATCAAACTGATAGCATTTAAAAATTTAGTTAAAAGGCATCGTAAAAGTAATTAAGATTCTGTGTTATTAAGAAGAAAATTGTTGTAAAATTGCCTAATAATATGGTAATAACATTTCTGATGAAAGAAACCATAATTCTGTCCATTAAAACAAAAATATACAGTATTTAAGCCAATCATTTGGTAATTTTTCCATTTATATGGTACTGGTTTATCGAAAATTTAGGTCTCAAAACTATAATTTCTATTATTACTACACATTGAGTCAAAAATATAAAACTCAAAAGTAAATTTAACCGTATAAATGGTTCTTATGACATGCTCTAAGGTATCATGATAAAATTACCATAATTACCACATTTACCAAATTTTAAAACATATTATAAAGTCATATTTTATTGCAAATTTTACCAAAATCATTACCAAAGCGCTTCGTTAAAAATTGCTCTGCTTTTTGGAGTTTCCATAAAGTCAGAAACACGGTAAATTTTACCATTTTCTGGTGGTTTTGACCATACTTTTTTCAGTTCAATATGCAGTCTTCCCCCTTTTTATTTTCATCACTATTCTAAAATTTTAATAAGTTTCCCGAACTGCACATAATTTGACTAAAATAAGCGAAGATAATTAAGTTAAATAAGTTGCCTCAGATGAAAATAGGAAAAAATTTGTTCTACATATGAATAAAGTAAAACACGTGAATAAAGCTCAAATAATGGCACTAAAATGGATATACTATATTTTCGGATCAATAAAAAATATCTGCTCGCTCTGTCTAAACACAAAATGACAGAAAAAAGCAGCAAACACGTTGCAGTAAAGGAAAGGTTTTATTAACCAACAGGGAAGAAGGAAGAAGTTTCATCTTCCCCTTTTAGTTAAAAGAAGTTTTGATTAGATAAGCCATTTTATGTTTACTTAACCACTTTTTGTTACAATATTATGATAATTTTTCAAAGTTAACGTTTCAGTACTTATGAAATACTTTAAAAATAAATTAATTCGATGTATATCATATGCCTAGATGTCTGCTTATGTACTTCCATCGACAACGTTACCATTAGCATTAAACCTGTGTGGTCGTCTTTAGTCGGTAATTTTTTTACACTTTATTTTTAAGACAATTTCAGACATTTATTTTAAAATAAAGTTACGAAATGCCGGTTGGAATAAAATAACGTCTTAATTTTAACTTAATACCAACAAATTGATGGCGGGATAGTCCTTAACTGGTAGGACGTTGAACTCGTGTTCATGAGAACATGAGTTCGAATATTGCCGTCCGAAGAATCTCCGTGTATTACAAAATGACTGATGCACGTTAAATCTGTCAGGTTCACAAAGTCCTCCAAGTTTCCATAACAACCCAATACCTCTGGGGGTACTGAATTGGAAATTGATTGCACTCTGGTTCAGGTCAAAATTACGATCTGTGGTTGAATAAATAAAGTATGATTGGGTCCTTCAGGAAAACGGCCTGTGACGTGTGTGTTGTTGAAGTCGTATTCTTGGTCATAAGTGGTGCCACTGACAAAAAAAGAAAAGTTCCCTCTGCCTTAAAAATTTGCTTGAATTCAAGCAGGCTTGCTGTTATTGGAATAAGTAACAACAACCGACTAATTCTAACTGTATATTTATTTTTAATACTTATATTGAATCCAGTTATTTTCTGGAAATATTAACTAGGATATTTAGAAATACAAAGATATATTCCGTATATATTTTTCTACCTTCTCAGAAACACAAATAGTAATAAATAAGTTTAGTAATTGCCCATTTACATAAAATGAGATATTCACTCTACCTAAATGCCCAATAACTTTATTTTTGATCTTTTTTTTCCGTTTTATGTATTTGTGCTGAAAAAAAGAGCAACTATTTCTAAATCAATTCAATATCTGTCACTTCCTAAGTTAGAAGCTATTAGTAGATAGAAATAAGATTACTTCCATGTGTTTTCTTTTTCTTTAAGAAATATTTTATTAGTGTACGAGATATTTTGGTGATTATTTTATAAATAAAACTGTAAATTGTTTTGAGGTATGGCGCAAATAATTTTTAAAGCAATTTGTATTATTTACATTTAACTCTTTAACATTCATAGTGAAGAATAAGAAAAATTAAAAAATTTTATTGTGTAAAAATGGGAGAAAAAGGAGAAGAAAAGTAATTCGATTAATGTAAATTGTTTTGAAGTGCATTGCAAATCATTTTTAAAACAATTTGTATTACTTACATTTACCTCTTTAACCTCTTTAGTAGTGAAGAATAAGAAAAATTAAAAAATTTTATTATGTAAAAATGGGAGAAGAAGGAGAAGAAAAAAGAATTAGATTAATGTAGGTTGTTTTGAAGTATAATGCAAATCATTTTTAAAGCAATTTGTATTATTTACATTTACCTCTTTAACATTCATAGTGAAGAATAAGAAAAATTAAAACATTTTATTGTGTAAAAATGGGAGAAAAAAGAGAAGAAAAAAGAATTAGATCAATGTATGGTAGCATAGGGTAAAAGGGGTGTTAATATTAAACAATTAAGAACTCTGATTAAAAAAAATTCAGTGCCCCAGAATCAGTATAAACATACTGGTTATTAGAAATCTGCTACTAGACCATGCCAGAAATTTTTTAAACCTGGTGTGACATCATCCAGGAAATTTTAAAGCCAGTACATGATGCTAGATATTTTGATACCAGATTGCTTACAAACTAGAAAATTTGAAACTAGTTGGAAATGATAATCGAAATATTTTCTCTGTACTATTTTGTACAAAAGGTACATATAACTTTTTCTTCTTTTCGTCAAGTATTTTAAGTATATTTATAAAGATATATAAATATAAAGATCTATAAATGTCTATCTAGTACATCCTGTATATATTCAGGGTTCACGCGAAACATTCACCACCTCGCCAAATACAATAAAATCATAAATTTGGGGAATAAAATTGAGCCTTGGCGAAATTGGTGAATGATTTTTTCCACTGGAAAGAGAAATATGTATTTAACTCGATCTTCAAAATTACGTCAAAATGAATTTTTCTAAGCAAATTAGTAATTTTTACTCGATTATATTACCGCTTAACCAATTAGATTTTGATCTAAATAATATAAGTTTGAAACAAACTACTGTGAAATAGTTTTCTATCGAAAAAAAATAATAGAATTTTTTTTAATATTTGCATTTGGCGAAGTCTTTCGAAAATTAGAGAATACTTTTGATATTTGAGTAATTCACTAATAATTTGCTATTGTATTTAATATGTAAGATATGAGATTTCTTTAAATTATGAAAAATCTAATTTAAATTATGTTTACCTTTATAATAATATAAAAAATGACAAAATATATTTTTTTGTGAGTATTTTTTTAACTTTCTTTCGCTTTTATTGTAAGCAGAAGCATCTATATTTATATTACTTGATACCACTTCTCTAAAAATGCAAGTCATTTTAAATGGAAAATTTGCAACCAGCATTGTTAATGCCCATATCAAAGACACTTTTATAAAAGTAAAAAAAAAAAAAAAAAACGGATAAATTAATGTCTTGTTTTAGAAACCTTAAAATACTTCCACTTTTCTTACAAACCTTTCCCCGAGGACAGTTTCAACAGAAAAAAAAAAAGAAAAAACTAAATTGTAACACCTCGAAAAATAGGTGCGCTTCTAAACTAATTAACTTTCTGGGTTCTTTCCCGTCATTCTTTTGACGGTTCGGGTGACTTCCCTGAAATTTCGTTTTCAGAAGCGTAAGGAGGAGTGGGTGTTGGGGGGAGAGTAGAGGGCCAGCAGATTCATATCCGATAAGGCCACCAACTTTTGTTCCCTGAAATATTTTAACCACGCTCTCATTTGTCATGTTTTTGCTTCTATGACACTCTATGATAGAAAATTTGAACTTCATTATCTTTATTCATTATCGCTATATGGGAGGAATATCGTTTAAAAAATTAGTTTTCTATGCTTATTAGAGTGTTTTACTTTTCCAAATATGTGAGTGCTAATCATGATGTAGTTTATCAGGATTACTTTACCGGATATCATCAAAAAACTTTTGGACAAAACATTATCTTATCATGTTTTATAATATATTTAAATTTGCCGGTGAATTTAATGAATGGTAATTAAAGAAAACAATATCAAAACTTTTAGTTTCTTTGTAAATGAGCAGTAAATCATTCTTTTTTACGAGTATACACATATTATGTCGATCTGTTTTAAATGGCTGAAAACAGAGAGAGTTAACGAAAGCAACATTAAAAGAATAATTGAGGCAAAAAACAATGATTTTTAACGAAAACAATATCAAAAATACATTTTTATTTTAAATGTACTGTAAATCATACTTTGATTTGAGTATATACAGATTATAAATTATTCATCTTAAATGACCGAAAATTTGGATAGTTGATATTCATAATATTAAAATGAGAAGGGAGGTAAACAACAATGAATATTAAACAAAACAGCATCAAAAATATTATTTTTTTAGTAAATGTGTAGTAAATCATAATTCGTAGGGAGTATATACAGATTATAAACTATTCTTTTTAAATGATCGAAAATTTGGATGATTTAAAACCATGGCATTAAAACGATGATCGCGCAATAAAAAAATATTATCAAGGAAAAAAATATCAAAAAAGTAACTTTATTTTTAAATGTATAGTAAATCCCAATTTATTGCGTGTATATAGAAATTATAAATTATTCCTTTAAAATGACCGAAAACTGGAATAATTAAAGAACATAACATTAAAATAGTCATTGACCTGTCTTTTGAAATAACTTATGAATCTCTATTTTCCAAACTATAACTGCTCTCCATAATTTGATACTGGAATTTCCATTAAAAAGAAAAGAATATCTTGGAGGAATATAATAAAAAGAATATTTATAATTTCATTTCATACCGGAATATAACGAATATCTTTAATTCAGAGAAAGAACAAATTCTTTCCTGATTTCGTAACTTAATATAATATCTACACTAATTAATTAGCTTATTTAGGCCAAACTCTAGGATTGCATTGTTGTAAATAGAAATCATATCATTAGAATATAAGTTATTCTCATTATTTTTGATTTTGCGCTATATTTAACTGTGCGTAATTAAAACAATAATAGAAGTAGATTAATATATAAATTGATTCTTGTGAAAGAATTAAAACAGTCCTTATAGAGGAAAACATATTTATTGACTTTTTTAAATGTGTCTAAATTATAGGTTATCAAGCTATTGTTTTTCCCCTTCATTTTGAAATTTGAGTTCACGTACAATCAATCCATTCACTTACTCCAAAAGCTATATTAATGATTTTTTTTTCTGAAAAAAACTGAGATATATTATTGACAAAACTAATCAATTTTAAAGAAAGCTGTAAAAAGTATTTTTCATCAGAATCAAAGTTAGAAAAGATCTTCCAAGAAGAATATTTCAAATAAAACTCTATAGGTTTAAACTGAAAAGCTATTTGAATAAAATAATTTTGAAGCAAAGGAATTTGCATAGTTATAATCCCATCTGTAATGCTTTAAAATTACATTCGCATTCATTAAAACTTTGGTAAATTGTATAAAATTATTGATTTAAAAAAAAATGCGTAATTTAAAAAAAAATTAAAGTATTTCTAAACAAATATCATGTTTCGTGAAGAATATTTAAAACGTAATGTTTAAAACAATGTATTTTTTTCGCTAATAATTATTTGCAGAAAACATTCTTCCTCCATTTTTGTCCCGAAATTTAGTTAAATTTAAATTTAGTTAAATTTAGTTGGTTTTCTTCTTAATGTATTTTTATCTTATCGGTGTTTTACTACCTATACATCAACGTGTATAAGAAAAACGACAGCTTCATAGTTAATTGTTAAAGTAGGTATTTGGTTACAGTTAACTTTATAGTTAATTATTATGTAAATAACAGTTAAAAAAATTATAAAAAAAATTTTATAATATTTTCTTTTTTCTTTCAAAATCTTATTTCTCAAAAATAAACTAATGAATTGCGCTTCACATCTTAATTTTAGTTACAATTCCTATATATGATTCCTTTTTAGGGATTCTTCTTATTCAGGAGGAGCTAGTGGGTAACTTTGGGATTGTTGGATAATTAGAATGTATTAACTTGTCGGTATCTTATAAGATAATTAAAAAATATATGATGAACAATTCGTTTCAACAGATGGGAAATGTCTTATCTTTAAAATATATTCAATATTCAATCGATGTCTTAAATAAAACATTACTTAGCTTAACATTCAGGAAAAATCCTTACATTGACTGAATTAAACTCTATAATCTCATTCCAAAAAAAAAAATACGCATGTAAAGTTTAAGTAGTTTTTTCACCATTTAATAAACACTCTTTAAAAATGTAAATAATGATTGCTATGTACATTTGAGTTAAAAAGGTTCTTTCGAAAGAATATTTCAAATAAAATTCGAGAGTTTTTAACTGAACATCTATTTGAATGAAATAATTTTTATGGAATGAAATTTGCATAAAAATAATTCCATCCATAATGGATTAACATTTCATTCGCATTCATTAAAACTTGGTATATTATAAAACGAAAGAGCTTTTCTTCGTAAAAAAATCCCCCGCAGTTTTAAAAAATGGAAAGTGCTTCCAACAATCACGCAAATATCATGTTTCTGCAAAGAAATTTTAACCGTAATTTTTAAAACAATTTTTTATTTTCATTTTTAAGAATCTTAAGAAAACAGTTTTATTTTTTCCCCATCATTTTCGTCCTGAAATTGAGTTATATGCACTCGCGCGTTGTGGTTTTCTTTTTAATGTATTTTAACCTTATCGGCGTTTTGTTACTTAGTTTATCTACATGTCTAAGAAATACGACAGCTTGACAGTTAATTGTAAAAGTAGCTATTTTATATCAGATTTTTTTTTCGCTTACATTTTTATTTCTTAAAAAATGAATGAATTGCATCTGACATGTTTATTTTAGTTATGATTCCTTTATACTTACAGGTAAAAATGAAAAAAGAAATATTTTTGTAGAATTGCTGCTGAAAGATTTTTTTTCCATTTTTTGATCGATCTATTTTTTATATCAAATTGTTTTATAACAAGAAAATATGTTTGCATATTTTTTTCCTTTCTGCGAACGTTCAGCATATGTATGTAAAACTCTATATATGCAAATCTTTTAACATATCATCGCTTCCCATATCGTAAATCTATTTTTATTAAAAATAAATTAGTTTAGGTTAACGTAGAAAAAAACCCAAAAGATTGTTGATAGTAAATATTGGATAAGAAATAAAAAATAACAAGTCGTAACTATTAGTAATGTCTGGTAAGAAAAAATAATTTTGAGATTTTAGATTGATGTCAGATAATTAACTAGCAAATAACTACATGGTTGCTATTATTAATGTTGGCATGAAACAAAAAGGAATGCAAAAAAAAACTTTTAGTAGTTTCTGCTTAAAAGCGGTTATAGGAAATGGTTCATTGGAAAATTCGTGTATGATATAATTTGCTTTTGTCAATTTTTCAATTTTGTCAAAAATTTCGTCAATTTTCCAAAAATAATATCAGTAAATGAATTAAAACAATGCCTTGATCCGATCATAATTATAAACGTCAAAATAAGATCTTTATGCATCAATATATTTCCAGCGAGATATCTTGGCATCAAAGGTTTGAAAGCCTGATCTGGGTATAGTTCGTTCAACAGTAGTTGGCACTTGTCTAAATCTTCTCGGACGTTAAGCTCATTTCAGAGCTGGAGTAAGAGGAGAAATATCTCCGCACTTGGAAATGAGACAACCCTTAATGAGTGCCAAACGCCACAAGTGAATTTTTTTATTCACTTACTACGCTTTATCATCTGCTATTATGCCTTTCGTTACTAACTAATTAAGTATATTTTAAATTTGAAAACTGTTTTCCCAGCATAATGTCTTATTCACTCAAAAGAGAGAAATATCAAATTTATAAAATATTTAATATTAAAAAATGCACATAAAGATGGCGAAATAAATATATTTGTCATACGATCCCCAAATATTAACCTTGTTCCGGATTGTTCATATCCTTCTCTCAAAAATAACGAAATAGTATCGTCGGATACCACATGATGAAAAAGGAGCTAAGTGCCTACTCCTGGTGAACAAACTATAGACCGGATTATGGTTTATAGATTTCGAGCAAAGTTTTTGTTTTTAACTCTTTTAACTGTTCAGAAATTAAGAGAGTATAACGAATCCGCTGATTTAAAGAGTCTAAGGGAGTCACGTCGCGACAGTAAGGTGACTAGAGTGTAGTTGGTACCTTTGAACCAGCCAGGAAGTGACTCACGAAGAATGCAAAGTTTTTCTTTACGCAATCACACTCTCAGAAATAAAATTCTCACTTTTGAAAATTTAGCAATCCTTGAGCAGTATTTCTCAAATTATTAAAATCATTTCGTCACTAAATCACGTGATTTATGACAAAACGCAAACTATCAAATAAATGCCGAAAATGTCTCCTCAACTCGGAACCTCATCGCAGTGCGTTGTGGGAGATTGTGAACTAGAACGAAGACTAGGTGATCAAAAATAAAGTGCAGAAATAAGCCGACCAACCTGCTTGGCTGTCAAAGAGTAGCTCTCATGCCAGGAAGGTCCCGGGTTTGGATCCAGCTTCCGTTATTTTGTGTAATTTATCTTTCTGTTATATATGTCCTTCTTGTGTTTGCTTGGGAGACATTGATTCACCTACATGGTACCCACGAAAAAGTGATTATTAGGAAAGTTCGATACATTAGACGCTACGAGTTTCATTTGTTTAAAAAAATGGAATGACGAATTGATTTTTTAAAAAAATAGAATAACGAAATATATATTTGATTTTGACGAAATTTGTTTCTTCGAAGAAGTGACGATAGTTGTTTCGTCACTTTGACGAAAATTTTGCTCGGAGCAGCACATGCAAAAAGTATTAGTTTCATGAAATTTGAGCATCCAATTTCTTTACATTTACTTTCCATACTCATATGAAGATTGTTTACCACAGTCCCTTAAACAGTACATTTTGGAATTTTATACGATTGGTGAACACTCAAACATCGTTCAGAGTTCAAGACTACAGTTCACATGGGTCACATTCCAGTCATGATGGTGGTGATTGATGGTCTTTCAGCACTTGCTTTATCATTGACCTTTAAAAGGCCTTCAAAAAATTTCCAGCGCCTCCGTCAAACTTCACGTTCCGATAAACATTAATAATTTCCATGGAAAAAGTATCAGTGAGGACTTCCTAAGTTTAATCTACAGTTTTTTAGAAATATTTTTGCTTCATCAAACTCTGGTAATTTGAAATGTGTTGAAAAAGCAGCAGTCGTTAAATTTTTATTTAAAACAAAATATTATTAAGTGGTGAAGAATTGAAAACTAAAATTTGGAATATTTTGGTTAATTTTTCAGAGGATCGCCACTAGATAATTGCAGTAAATTAGTGTTTAATACGAACTATTAAATCATTTATAAATAGTGGAGGGTAAAAGAATTTAAAATCAAATTACAAAACTTAGACTCACATATTAAAGTACAAATTTTGTTACTACTGGAATAAATATTCCCACTGGGAAAAAAAATTATGGTATAATTAACGTACTGTATGTTATAATCATTTCTGGTAATAAAGAAAATAACATGATTTTGGCTAATAAAACCAAAATATACGGTTTTTTAACCATTCATTTGGAAATTCTTCCCGTTCATATAGTAACGATTAAGCGGAAATTCTGGATTCTAAGATTATAATTCTTATTATCACACATTTAGTAAAAAATACAAAACTGAAAATACAAAATTTAACCAAATAAATGGTTTTAATGCCATGCTATAAGGTATTATAATAAAATAACCAAATCCCACTACTAAATTTTGAAGTATATTAAAAAATCATATTTTATTGTTAATTTTGTCCAAATCACTGCCAAAGCGTTTTTTATAAATTACCGATCGTTTTGGGGTACCCAAAAAGCCGAAAAAACAGATTATTTCACCACATTCTGGTAATTTCGGCCATACTTTTCTTTTTCTCAGTGAAAATAACAGATCAGGTTGGCTTTGCCAGAAGAATTTGAGATCATGCGATTGACATTGATAATTTTTGTCAAAAAATGTTAGAAAGATGCCGCAGTATCAGATAAACATACTTTGCAATCATCGCTTAACAAGCTGCCTACATATTGTTTTCATATTATTTAAAATTGGATGGTCAAAATAAATTCTGCTCTTAAGGAGCTGTAAAGTTTCTAGTTTTCATTCCACTTTCCTCATTCATGATTCTTCAGATATTCATAAAGTACTATTTGTTTCATTTTCTCCCCTAGCTTGAATATAACTTGTTATACCCAATGCGCACAGTTCTTTTAACTTCACATAACGGGCAGCTATTGCGTAACACTCCGAAGTTCAAGAAGTAACAACATTTTCATGAAACGATACTTTTAGTGTAGTGTAGAGATTGCGTTAAATGACGTTTCGTTGAATTCCTGCATCCTAAAGTAAAATACAAATACAAATTCAGTAAAAAATTGTGCTGTTCTTGAAAATTCAGCTTTAACAATTTGACACCTTTCTGATATGTTTTCAGTTACCTAAATATTCAATTTTTTACATTTCAGTACCATATGGCACTTTCTTAAAAATGAAAAGAAGAACAATATCTATGGAAATGATAGGTTGTCCAGAAGAAAGTAAAACCGTTGGTAGATAAAAATTATAAACAAAACAAAACGTGTGTCGAGTCTGTTTTGAAAATAATAAGTCTCCGTGAAAATATTTCTAAAGATAGAATATTTTCTGAGATTACTTTCTAGAGTTTCTTTCAAATATTTTTTTTCAGAATATCTATGCATTATAATTTCCGATAGATATTGTAACGCATCTGTTGAAGCTGTTTTCTAGGAAAAAATCATTTAATAGGTAGTTTTGGTTGTACAAAAATAATTCTAAGAGGATTTCAAAAATATCTATATCAAGAATAGATGTCAAGAATAGAAGAAGCCATATTTAGCTCTGAGAAAGAAAATAATTCTGCAAATATCGATAAATAATATTTTTGTTCTTCCTCACTTTCAAATCTTTTAA